GTAAAGTGGATGGTAGGTTTGATCCTCTCATAGTTCAGTTAGCAGCTTAGTGTTAAACCACTGGGTCAGCTCTTCTTTGTTCTATGGGCCACTATGAGTTAAAACAGACTCAAGAGCAATTTGGGTTATACGAGATTTTGTGACTATGGCTAATCAATAGAAGTGCTAAATGTATAGAAGAATAAGCCTGTCTTTGAATTCTGTATTGGTCATTGTGCTCATGGATAAAACCCACTTTCTGAGCCTCTGTTTTCTCATCTGTATAGTAAGTCAGTTAAAGGAAATATCAAAGATACAGATTTCAGAGATAAATAAGACAGATTACTGCTCTTTCTGTATTAGCCAGAAAAGTACTAATTTCTACAACATTTCCCCTTCCTTGGTAGGCAATACTGTTTCAATTTATACCTTCACGTTTACATTTTTACAACTTTTCTAGCCTAGGTTAAACTCAGATGAGGGAATAACGAGCCTTTGGAGGCCACTGTGGTGGTCAGGATAGGTAGGAGATGAAAAGGCTCTCAAGATGAAAAATGAAACTTCAGGGGGCAAAATCCACTCGTTCACACTTGATTCTATTTTTGCATTTGGTTTACCAACAAAAGCAAAAAAACAAAACACCTCCTAATGCTTAGAGGAAGGATATGGAGCATCTTAAGTAAGCTAGCTGACTATTCTATAATGATGCTTTCCAACCCCTTCAATGAGATGAAGATGCCCAAATGTCTAACTCTTGGACACAGTCACTCCAATGACCAGTTATTACTCTACAGATGAGCTCCCAACACATTCTTTTTACCTCCTTTACTTTTTGATATGTGTTGCCCCATGATACTGGTGTGCTACTCTATAATTATGATCTTGTTATTTCTATGCTGCATGAAATTTTCATCTGTAGATATACTTTTCCTTTTTTGTTGGGGACTGATAAAAATGGAACATTTCCCTTATAAAACACATTTACAGATTAGTTGTAAGCTTGTGATAGTATTATAGTAATTCAGAATTATTTATCATTGGGGGAAGAAAAAGGTTTACTGTGATCAGACTTACTGATTGAGTTTTTCAGATTAAAAGAAACAAACAAACAAGAAATACTTCAGACAGACTTTATATAATTCTCAATTATAATCTAAGCCAAAAAAGTATTGCGACAGAATCATAGAAGCTTTCATCAAAAGTATCTAAATATAAAGCTACTCTTTTTCAACATATCCTCCATCAAGGTCTACATATGTTTAAAGGTGGTATTTCCATCTCTCTAATACTTTCACAAAAGGAACTCATGCTCTTCAATTTACACCACATCAACACAGGAGCTTTCGAATCCTCCATTGAACTTATACAACATTCCTTCAAAATGATCATTCTGTGTCCTTCAAGAAAATCTCTCAAGATTGCCTCTCTAAAACCAAAACAAAACAAACAAATCAACTCATTGCTTCTAAGTAGATTCTAACTCATGGTGACCCTGTAAGGCAGGGTAGAACTATCTCTGTGGGTTTCTGAGACTGCAATTCTTTACAGGAGTAGAAAGTTTCATCTTTGTCCTAAGGAGTGGCTGGTGGTTTTGAACTGTCAACCTTGTGTCTAAAGCCCAACATGTAACCACTATGCCACAAGGACCCCTTAGGAACCACAAAAAAATGTCACCATAATTTTCTGCCTCAAATTTAAATGTCCCAATCAGCAGATCCCCTCAGAAACCACCGTCTGATTGTAGCTTAAAAAAAATAAAGTTGACTAAGATAAATGTATTCCTGCAAAAACTTGTCTATAGCCATCCTCTTATCAGACAGATATGTTTAAACACATTTTGTTTGGAATAAACACATGCATGTATGAATTAGAACCCTAGTAGCAACTATTTTTGGCTTCTCCACTATTAGCAAGTATGTAGGGGGATCTTTAGTTCATAATATTCATAATTTTCCCTCTTGAGCAT